CATCAGACCATCTCGATTATGTACTGTTACTTTGTTTGCATTCCTCTCAGAAGAGATCCCTAGTACAAGCCGTAATTAAATTTTATCCAGTTTCATCAGACAAAGTTTGTTGCATTGGAATAAACTCCACATCATCAGTTGGGTTCTGGTTGCAATTAGTAGTTCACCAATGCAGTATATACAATAAGCCGAACAGCTGCACCCTGAAAAATGGGCAAATTAAATGTTGCGAAATATTTTGTGATTCCTTCCCTGCGTTTGTCCTTAGAAACGGCGTTGACTTGAAGCCTTGAAGCCCAGGTACATGAAGCATATTTCAAATGACTCGTTTGCTTAGCTGCTGCAGTCTGGTGCATCCCCGGGTTACGGGTAGGGGAGCGAGCTCTGGAAATGGAGGATAGCTACAGCAAATAGGCACTTGGGGACAGGCAGCGATAAGGTCGACAGGGCGTGGTCAGCTTTGAGCTCGACAAGTTCGATCCTCATCGAAAACGTTACAGTGCCCAATGACATTCTCATGACGAGGCGAAAGTGACTCAGCCTCTCAGAGTGAAAAGGCCACTAATGTCACTGCTACCTCGCTCGAAGACGTCGGCTTTCAAACGCTAGAAAACTGCATAACAAAATTCTGTTAAATGACCAGAGGGAGTTTGAAACCCCTCTTTACGAAATTCTTAAGGCGACCGTCAACCCTAGCAGCGGGTGGCAGAACTATGAAAATGCCAATAAATGGAAATCAGTAGCCACCCTACCGCGTCGGCGGTTCGCTGTTCGACTGATGATAGGCACTTAAGAATGCAAGGAGAAATGCCTCCATCTGGTACATGGAACATGTCTTGCATCGTTGCTTGAGGAGGGAAGAAACATTACACAAACTAATGAAGAAGAGCTTAGGGATGATCAGCAACATCTTTGAATTCTTTGAGACGCGCAAGAGGAGGGATATGAATGGCTTCCGGAAACGGTAGTTCCATTTGGCTAGGCAGAGAAGAAGGCTCGAAGAATTAGATGTGCTCTCAGTGAAAGTTGGTTCGCCAAAATCGTCAAATTCCATGTGAAATCACTAAGATTTGGCCTTCAAGTGAACAACGGTAAGATAAGGACCTTGACGGTCATCATAGCTCATTCTTCCACAAGCAGAGCTGCTGAAGAAGAAATGAAAGAATTCTATCAAGAACTAGAATAGGCATTGGCCCAAAGTTCACGCATGTCCTCATCATGCGAGACTTCAACGTCAAGGTCAGACGAGGAAGAGCCAGTGATACGGTAGGTAGGTCCGGCATCGGAGTGCAGACCGGCTGATGACAGTAGCAGAAACGAAACACCTGTATATTTGAAACATGCGGCTCTAGAAGAAAACCAACAATAGGTGGATATTGATCTCGTCCAACGTGGCGACGATGATCGAGATTGACTTTCTCCTCTTTAGTGAACGTCGCATTTCGGGAGACAAATCAGTAATGCCATCATGCAACACCGGTAGTGATCACAGACTGGCTGTGGCTACTGTAACATTCAAACAGAATAGCGACTAGCGACTGAAACATACCGAAGATGGCCAGTAGCTGACAATGATCGAAGATATTCGACGGAGCAGTGCTCCAGATGTGCATTTCCAGGGAAGACTGCCTGAAAGACAGTTATGACGACGACTACGAGATGTTCGCCAAGAACCTGAGGCTCTGGTCCGTCAACTGAGGTAGTGACATCAGTGAGAGCGATGGAAATGATCTTCGAACAGATAGCGAATTTGTTAGAGAGACCAACGAAGTCAAACAGGGATGGGACCGATATGATGGAGTATTCTCCTCCTGTCTGCCACAGCTGATTAGGGAGAAACTGAAGGAGGATTTAAGACCTTTCGATTGCGAAAACTACAAAAAACCACTTAAGGTCACAGAAGTCTCGAACAATGCAGCAGAGGGTGGCAGAGTGGCACTGTATCAGACGGTCATTGCAGCGCTGAAGCACGGGGATGGCCATTAATGTCTAACAAAACTGAGATGCTGTCTATCTACAATAACGTTTAGAGTGTCTGCACGCTGCTCTGCGTCAGAAACGGAAACTCCTCACCACTGTCACTCCAATAACCAGTTGGAAGTGCACCTTTGGTCCTCATAAACGAACTTCGGCATACCATGCAGCAACCGTTGGAAGGAAGAGTTCAGGATGAGAGGGTCTGAAAATCGAAATGATCGCAGCAGGTCGTTAGACACGACGGAGGGCTCTAGTGGAAAAATTCAACT